TAGCTTCAGAGCAAACAAAACACATCATTCATAACAGAAACAGCTCGCAATAGCCACAGGAACGTTGCTGCAAGACAGGCATATGTAACGACGACTTAGCGCTCTTAAACGCGTGTGTCATTAAATACAGTCCTCCTGACAACAGGCCAGTGAAAAATCTAACAATCTACAGCAAAACCATCAATTATTATGGGCGTTATAACATACGTGTGCAGCTGGACGAAACATACACGTCGAACCCCCCCAGACGATTTAAATCCCTGATGAAACATACACGACGAACCACGGCAACGGGTTAAGCCGTGGGTCCCGTGTCTAAGATTTACGGCACATAAAAGAACCTCATGTCTCTAGGAGACCTCTGAGCAAAATTAGGCCAAGTTTCCCGCCCAACTAGTTTGCAGTTCCTCCAGTAGATGGGGGAAGTATCAGGTACCACTGCCAGAGGAGGGGGGACCTCTCTGACAGAAAGGGACTAAAGTATTAGATACCACTGCCAAGTAGAGGGTAGAAACCTTGCTGGCAGAAAGGGACTAGGAACCCCTGCCAAAGGAGGGACGACCTCGCTGACAGAAAGGAACTAACTATTAGATACCACTGCCAGTAAGAGGTTGGAACCTCCCTGGCAGAAAGGGACTGATAGTAAGCACCAGTACCGGTAGGGTATGGAGACAGTAGAAATTAAAAGGGGACGCACAATGGACCAGTAACTGGTCTAAGCGCATGGGGAAACCCACCCCCTCAATACGGAATACGGAATAGTTTAATTTTGGATAAAGTAGAAAAAGACTGTTATGGTATAACGCTATTCCTCATTTTGTGTAGTGGTCTCCTTATTGTCTCTTCACCAGCATGATGGATTGATCCGGCATGAAGAAATATGTGAAATTGCTGTTTGTGGTAGCATCATTGCTGAATGTAAAATTATAGTTTGTAGATCCTTATTTTTATATTTTTAGACTGGCACTGTAGCAAGCATTCCCTGAAATTAATATGCTCTTTATTTCTTCATTAAGGAAATTTGTATTTGTTCACTGTCATTATGAAGTATTTGAACTTTGCCGAACTTTCAAAAGATTTATTAGCTATCTTATATTCTTATTTTATACTGTATTCTGGTGAAGTGGTGTTAACATATACTTCATTTTTTCAGCATTTATGTGAAACATTACACACAGCTTGTAATGGTTTGCTAACCAGGAAGGTAGATCAGTTCATTACAAAATAACATCTCTTTGCTGAAATAAGGTACAATGATTCCTGATTCTGTTTGTTGTGCATTCACATTGACCTTCTGTGCTATGTTTAATGTTTCAGGAAACAGAGGATTTCTTATCAAATCTTGTAGTGAACAAGACTGTTCTAGCCAAGACAGACCGACCAGCTGGTGTAGTGAGCTTTACACAAAGCAAAGATCCAAATGATGCTCTGAATGACTGGTCCAATCACCTCAGTTCACTAATGCAACTTGTGAACAAAACAACGCATCTTATTAATAAAGAAGAAATGGTTCGCAAACACTTGCTGGCTGTTAGAGAATGAACTGATGTTGATCCTATAGCAGCCTGTTACTTTGCAGTGTCAAAAGTAGCGAAACCCTCTTAGAAAGATCTTCTCTTGTACGTTTTTCTGAGAGTAAATTTGTTTTGAAATACTTAATACAATTTTTGAAATGTTTGTATAAACATTTTGTATACAGACTAGTTCATATATTTCTCAAAAATTTAAATTTTTGGGTATGGCATACATTAAAATAAGGTAATGTGACCTAGAATTTGTTTAATAATATACATCATGCAATTGAACTTCAATTCGAGTTTTCTCAGGGTTTTACGTAGTTTAATGTTCAGATTGATTGTCCCTCATAGAAATGGGAATTTCATTATATTGAGTTGTAACAGTTACAAAGGTAAATATATAAAACAATAAAAATTGTTACATTCATATTTCTGCTAAGATCTTGATGCAGTATAGCAATGTAGATACATGATATTCATCAGTTATATTTTGTTTGGTAGCGCAGTCAGTGTAGCAACTGGCTGTGGGCTGGATGGCTGAGAGGTCAGAGTTAGTCCTGGTAGGGGTAAGAATTTTGTCGTGTCCATGTTGTTCAGACCAGGTCTGGGGCCCACCTTCCATCCTGTCTAGTAGATATCAGGGTCTCGTTTCCTAGGGGTGAAGTGGCTGGGGTATGAAGCTGACCACTGGCCTCCAACTAGTGCCAACATCAAGAATATGTGGATCTGTTCATCCACTTCCCCATATGTCTTCATGGCATAGTGCTTAATTAGTTAAGCACAGGGACAAATTTGCCTTATTTGATAAATAGATTTACATAAATTAAACATATTTCTCCTGCCCTAACAACTGCTGTTCATAAGAATTGGAGTAGTGACTTACAGAAAACTTTGTAAGAGGGTTTTGCTATATGTGTTATTTTCAGTGATGAGACTGCAGAAGCCGGAGGATTCCAACACCCTGCTCACTTACTGTAATTTACCAAGGACAGTGAAGAGAACCTTTTTTTAAGGAAACTGTATTATTGGAGAGAAAAAATATAAGTAGTTTACATTTATTGACTCATCTGCTTTGGCACCCACATTTACATTAGAAGCACATAAAAATGCGGCATAAAAAAGCATGAATTGAATTTGCCCTACTAATTTGAATGTTAATTGTTATTATGCCTGAATATTTAAAAAATTATGACAGAATTCTATGTCATTTCATTAGATTAGTACATCTGAATCTTCCATGCTACATGTACGAAGTATTGTTAATCTGACATTTTCAGGACCGTGAATAATGGTCCATTATAAACAGTGAATGGAAACATTCACATGTAGAGCAGTAGTTTGTGTTACAGTGGGACCTGTGTTAGAAGTGTTAGTGCCTAACAGTTTCTCTTAATTCTAATTTAATGTGGAATCATTTTAATTATTCATCTTTGGTTTGAATGGCAGACTAGCTAACATGGGCAAGAAAACCTTGAATAATTTTGTTGAAGTTACTTTTTGTGTGGTAACTTAATACACTAATTTATAATTTCATTTACCCTCTGATATTTATTTTGTTCATGCCACTAAAAAATTAAAACCTCACTTTACAGAGACTATAACAGGGGTGTAGAACAAGTTCCTCAATGCTTAAGAAATAAGTACTTGCAATATATACATACGCGAGATACAGTTTGAAGGTTTGACAGTGCTGTCCTGGTAAATGTATAGCATTATGTTAAAAGTAATTTAAATTTGTGATATTTGCATTGTTTAAGTGTACTGTATATGCAGATTGATTTGGTTTTGATTTGTGAACAGCAGAATCTTGGAATTGTAGTTTGTGACTTCATGTAATGATGAGTTGTAGAAGTAAATTTATATTATTATAGTAGATGAAGTTTGGTAATACATTTTTTAATTATATAACATGTTTGTACTCAAAGTAATAGTGTACATTTAAAGATATTAGAATATTATTGATTTGTAACTTTGAAATTCAGAAATGCTGAACAAGTAAAACCTAACTTCGAAGATAAATTTGTCGATACAGTGTTAACTTCTGAAGGACTGAGCATTTACATTCCTGCGTCACATCCTGGATAGCATTTTAATTAGGAATTTAAATTATTTAAAGCAGTGAGACACAGTTAAGGTTTGTTTGGGGACCAGTGAATACGCTAAACTGAGGAATGTCTTGAATGGAGGAAATTCAACATTTAGGTTATTGCTTTGTCATTATTTACCTTCAGCAGTAAATGAGGGAAGCCTTAAACTGAGGAACATTAAATAGGTGTTGCCATTTACATTAAGAGCATTAGCATATATGTATTATTGCTTGTGTCTTATTTGCTAAAATTGTTTCCCTTCTAATATCATTAAGTTAGTAGGATGAACCAAGTGGCAAAGATTCCCAAATGACTAGCATAAATATTGTTTGGTTCCTTTTTTGTTCCCATATCACAGAATACTTCCTTCACATGAAATTCAGTATAAAAATTAGGAGTTTATTTCAGTTAAAGTTTCATTTCAGTCAATCCTATTAGTACTATAATTGTTTAATGCTGTCTGGAATACATAACACCTGCCGCTGTTGACAGGTACATTTTGCTTGAGGTTGTAAAATGCATGGGACAGTGGTAGCTCCCAGCCAGTTTCTTGATTGTCATGTTTACTATGAATGCTGTAAGCTTTCAATGTGAGCAGAATTTAAAAATTTAAAATGTACAAAATAATGTTGAAACCAAATTTTGGTGTGTGGATGAGAAATATGACCCATGACTGAGAAAGATAAATAAAGTTGTGTTAAGTACAGCACATGGGAGGGGACAATTTTGAGGAAGGTATTTCAAAACTAACCAAGAACAGATACAACTGTATAAAGCCCCATGTGAGGTTTGCAGTAGGGAAAAGTAAGCATCTGTCATAAAGGAATTGAACACTCTTAAGAGGACTGTAAAGCTAAGGAGAAAATAAATATAAGCTTTAATTTCATGTATGGGTAATCATACTTCAAATTTCTGCTGTATGTGTTGTAGTTGTGCCTATGTTTCAATGGAGTTCCATAGATCACTGTTGCATTCCTGTAAGGCCATGATCTTTGTTTGTGGAAACTTGGAACCACATGATCTACTTAACAGGAGACCTCTGCAAACAGAACATGCGTTGCCTGGTGTACTTATTTCTATATAGATGGTAGTAGTGCAGTGTAATTTTGATTGACCAATGACAGAAAAGTTACTTGAAATTTTAGTGATTGAGATGTGTTTGTTGACTTGATAATTTATGTACTTATTGTGTAAAAAGGCTTGCATTTGTATGTGTACATATGGTGAAGCTGTCTCTGTAACGGGCTCTGGAGGCCTGTAGTGTTGAGAGATGTCGAGGCTCCTACAATTTATGGACAATTGGCTCACAGTTGATGGTGAGGTTGTCAGCCTTATGTGCCGGCTGCCATTTACCCATGGGAAGATTTCTGGTACTCATTTCTGATAGAGGGTGAGTCCATAGTGTGGCTGGTAGGATTAGGTCAATTGTAAAATCCCATGACCTCATCGGGAATTGATCCAATGACATTCTGGCTTGTAGCATAGTGCCTCAACCAAGTATGCTGCTGCATGTTACATGGACATATGTATGTATGAAAGGGTAGGCCTGCTCGGCCCTTGCACTTAGACCTCAGTCGCCCATTGTGCTTCCCTTTTTTTTAATTATTCCCTCAGCAACCCAATGCTTCGGATGAAGTGCAGGATTTTGGACGTGGGGCCGTCGAAATAGTCACTTGGTTCCATAAAGTACTGACCCAAGTGACGTCTTAAAGAAGCTAAAGCCTCACATTCACGCAGGACGTGTGTGACTGTTTCATTTTCTATCTGACACCTCTCACAAGTGGAACTATCACTTAGTCCCAGTTTGAACAGGTGTCCTTTGAGGTGACAGTGTCCTCTAAGTAGTCCTGCCACCCATCGTAGCTGGTTCCTGTTGAGCTTCAACAGTTCCTTCGCTCTTTTATCAGAAGGTCCTCGTATGAGTCCCTTAGCTTGCCTGAGTCCAGTTAAGGATTCCCAGTATTTCTTATGTTTTCTGTTAGTCCAGTCCCTGATTGCCTGTTTGGCAACTTCAAGAGAGATGCCACAGGCTGGTTCAGGTCCTATGAACGGATGTTCAGCTCCAATTTTAGCTAATTGGTCTGCTGCTTCATTTCCAGCAATACCCTCATGCCCCGGCACCCATATCAGTTGTACCCTGTACATGGACGTAAGTCAAGAATATAATTGCTATGATAAACATAAGATAACATTTCAGTAATATATTTGTCAGTACTTACTTATGGAGCTGAGCCCTTCTTGAGGAGAAGCCAAATCTGCAGCTACCCAAGAATTTTCCAGCATTTTATGGAACCCAAAGGTTCATTACCATGTTTGCAAGAGCCGTCCACTGGTCCCTTCCCTAAGCCAGACCAGTGCAATCCATACCATTCCATTCTGTCTCTCTTAAGATCCATTTTAATATTGTCCAGCCACCTATGTCCTGATGTTCTCAGTGGTCTCTTTCCTTCTGGCTTTCCCACCAATATCCTATATACATTCAATATTTGTCAGTAGTTGACTAAATATGTTACAATTACCACTGTTCACTGCCAGCATTTTCACTTACAAATGGAGTTCAAGTTGTCTGGAAAGTGTAAACTGTAGCAACCATACAGTGTTTGAATATTTTTATGGATTAAACTTGATTTTTCTAGTAATTGTGATTTTCTTTTTACACATGGCTGAGCCCAGGACAGAAGGAGCACTGCCCTCAGAGGCCTTAGTATAACTTATGTGAGGAGGATGATGTTATTTTTCTCAAGAATGTGCTCTTGTGTCTCAACCCATCAAATGCCTCCTCATCCCATTGTCACACACAGCATAATACCACACTATTAAAATGGCTTCTCAGTGTGCAAAAGCAGATAGAAGTTTGTTTTGTCTGGTTTGTTATGACGAAGGCACTTGACTCAACCATAACATCAGTAACCCTGCCTAGGACTTGTAAAACTAAATAATTTTCAATGTGTTTGTAGTACAGGTTGTGAGCTTGGTATAGTGACAGGCTATGGGATGGCTTTCGGGGATTTGATTTCTGGAAGGGACAGGAGGTTTTCTTTGTATTACACTGCATCCAGACCAGGTCTGGGGCCAACCCAGCCTCCTATTCAGAGAGTACCAGAGGCTCTTACCATGGGGATAAAGCAGTCGGTGGGTGAAACTGAACACTCATTTCCATCTAGTGCTGAGGTCAAGTATGATGGAGCTGTACCTTCACTTCCAAATACGTCTTCATGGTTTAGTGCCAAATTAAGCACAAAGTAAAGTTTACCTTACTTTTGAAATCGGCACTTCGGGCTTATAGGTGTATGACTACCGGTTTCTGACATATTCGTAGGGAATACATATTGTTTACGGTGTTTGTAACAGGCTGTCATAAGTTTGCGGCATGAAAGTGTGAATAGTTATAGTTAGACTGCAGTAAGGGACTGTGAACCATTCGTAATCGTTCCAGTTATTATTGTCCGCTGAAATACTAGTAAAATTGAACTGTATTTTGACTGGCTTCATTGTAGCACATATTTGCGTTGCGGGATATTTTTTTCTGGGCTTACATGCACATGTTGCTTCAGTTGGTAGTGTGAAGTTTAATCGACTTTGGTGAATATTTTTGAACGAGTTATACTTCGAGAGTGGAGGAAGATAAATACGAGGATATAGTCTGTGTGTGTTTGAATTTTAAAGAATTGCTTATGAAAAGAAAGCTGGAGTTATATGCACAAATACATCTAATCGTTGTGATTTTCCTTACGTGTGTGACGTCATTAGTCTTTAAATACTGGTAATCAGTTAATAATGGTAATGGTTTGAAGGAAGGACCTCGCCGCATTCCTCTTTCATGATTAGCTATTCGCCCCGTGATACCACCTGAGGGCATAATTTGCGGGAAATGTCTTCAGGTTTCAGTGGTACCGTTGCCATACAGCGTGTCATAAGACGGATTTGATGCCTATTATTGCGGCAAATAATGACGCTTGTTACGGAGGTGCATAGCGTTTTTGTGGTTATGTTTTCCTCTCTTGCAGTCGTTGCATCTTACTTCGGGTTTGTACGGTTCAGGTCTAATAATAATATAAAAATGCGTGGCCTATAAACCTAAATATCATAGAAAACATTAGTTCGTCATTATCCTGCATAGACCTAACTCATTCATTAGTCGTGATGTTCATTTATTTGAGATATAATAAATCTGCTGTTGCGAAGTTATTGAATATGTCACATTGCGTAGTCTATGGTGACCTGTCTTTGAGGCATATGGTAAGACTGAGATTCAAGTTCATGTAAAGTAAGGCCTGACTGGTACGCACCAAAGTTACGAGTAGGTTAGCCTTGTAGGTGTGAGTGCAGGACTTCACAGTACAAAATTCAGTGGAAATCCGACTATTGGTTTCATAGATTAAACATTTGGGCGGATAGACGGTTCTATTCGTTTAATTTTACTGTGATTTATGCAAATAATTAATAAAAGTAATTGGCCCTGGAAGAATTCACGTTAAATAGAGGCACGACTGAAGAACTTAACAAGGATGAATTCAAGATCCATGTGTAATGTGTGACATTTTACGCTGTTTGAAGACTCCGTGGTACAAAGAAGTTGATTTCAGTGGTTTGCCGAAAGTGTATGCTACTGAATCGTAAAGCAGCAATGTGATTTGGAGCCCATGCGTCTTAAAAGCGATCCACAGAACTGTGAGTATATTTGACGTTTGTTATCAATTAATTAGTTTATGTAATGTAATTTAGTTCGTTTGGCCTGGTATTTTAAGGTAAATAAATTAATAAGGATGAAATCGGAAGGAAATACAGGGTGACTCTAAATTATTGACGGGGTTTCCATTTATAGGCCACGGAAACCCCAATAATATTTATGTAGAATCACTCTGTATAATCTGCATGTGGCAAATGAAAACTATATATTGAAAACATGAAGGAAAGGAGGTTTTTGAAACCAATAGGTAGATAGATTTTAGAAGAACGGGATTTGAAGGCGTGTAATTGATACAGTGGGCTGAGGGCAGGGTCCCGTGGCCTCCTGTGAATACGGCAATGAAGACTGGATGTAAATAATGAAATCTTTTGTCTTGCTAAGTAAATCCATTTTTTGAGGACGGAGGCGCGATGGAATTCTGCGATGAAGATTGTGGATTGTATAGCCTATATAAAATTGGAAATATTGACAGCAGGTAACATTTCGAAACTGCATATTCGTGAGCTCTTTTCACGGAGAGAATGACCTGGAGTCACCAAGAAACGGAACGTAGGGACTTAATTGCCAGAACTATTGCTTAGTGTTCAAGTGGCCCTGAGTTCGAAACTTGAGGGTGTATTATAAGAGGTCGGATGGGGCGTGCCATAGCTCTGGCGGTTAGTCGCCGGTTTCCCGCCACGACGGTCCGGGCTCGAGCCCAGGTCAAGTCATGTGGGATTTGTGGTGGACAAAGTAGCACTGCGGCAGGTTTTCTCCGAGTACTTCGGTTTCCCCTCTCAATTCTCATTCCACCAACTGCTCCACACTCATCATCTATCATCCGGGGCTGATACAGTAGTCCAGTTAGTGGCCGACGTACAGGGTTTCTCAGTCTCATTGCACCCCAAGAAAGTAAAATAGTATCGGATGGGCTTTATATGTGTGGAGCTTCTTTTACCCTAGTAACAACTTCATGTAATATACTTCATTATAAACGAGGCTCTGGAAATCGAGTCGTGACCATTTTATTAAGTATGGAAAAAAATACTACGAAAGTTTAAGTTGAATTAAGCATATTTTGAATTTATTTTTCTGCAATTAAACTCATTAACCAACCAACCAAGCCAACGAAATTGGGACCAGAGACTGGCTATCTTAGACGAGATATTTTTCGTGTTTCCCTAGTTCCACCAGGTTAATTCCAGGATTTTAACCCAAACGAGCAACAGTTGCAATTTCTGTGCCCTACCCAGTTCAACATGCACAACCGTTTGACTCTAAAAGACATAACCTAAGGAGTTACAAAGCATCGTAAGGTAAAGAAAGATGACCTAATTATTTCTAACTATTTATTGATATAAAGGTATTCTGTAATTAATTCATCAGAAGCTGAGAGGAATAGCGTCTTTTGTTTTTTGTTCGTTTTACTTCCTTCTTTATATCTTGTTTACCGATCTCAGAGCTGTTAAGTAATCACGCAAATAATTAAAGAATTGAACTCAGTTGAATTGAATATGTTTCATATAGTTAGAGTAGCACTGAGTCCATTATGTTGCGACCGACGGTCAATTCGGCCAGTGTCTGTCTTCTGTTATGGAATAAAGCACTTATCTGGAGCTTACGACCACGTTTTTATTACTGTCAGACAGTTAAGGGTTTGTTGATGTGGGGCACTCTCTCTAACGACATGACGTGTCTGTCGTTTGAAATTGCTACTGGGCATCGCCAGCGCAGTCATTCTCGGGTCCTACTTCCTCAGATTTGAGACTACCCTTTGCGTCGCCTCATGCGACTCACAGAGCTACGGTGGAGGTATTCGACCCCGCCTCCACGTGAGAATACCGTAGTCGCTGCTGCAGTTTGGTAGCTAATAACGATTGTACAAAATTAATAAGTAAGAATTTGATATACCGAACGCTTGAACCCATCTGCCCATTAGAAGGTAAGGGCTTACATTCTGGCAGAGACATTGGGATTTTTCTCTTTTCCATCAAGAATAGAACGCATGAAAACGTTTGAACATTATATTCGAAATTTAATTGCTAACCCTGCAGTGGATTCTCCTACTTGACTCCGCTCATAATTTTATGTGCACGCTGAACTTAAAATCACATCGGTCGCATAGGCACACCCTGTATTTCGCACTGGCGGGGGATGTATATCTAACGCTCTGGCATTTGGAGTGTTTCAAATCTGAGCTTGCATAACATTTTAATGAAAGAATACAGAAACGTGTGCTTACGTCTTTCCCTTTAAAGAACTTCATTTTCAGTCCGTGAACTGCTCTTTTTAATATAGGAAGAACCGTTATATTTTTTCATTGCATGTTAATAAATTATGAAAGCGAAGCACAACTTTCCTGACGGGCCCAATTACGCTGAGTAGGAACGTATGATAGGAAGCATGTTTAATGTTTGGTGGGTGTATAAAAACAAAATTTCCCCCTATACTTCCATTTCGCCATTTTCCATACTTTTTTTTTAACTTCTGACGGTCTACATGCCTCTGGCTTTCAACCTGGGAAGCTGAAGGCACAGGCTTCTTAAATCGCACCTGACTGATAGCTAATACAAAGAGAGTGCGCGGCCTTTCGCAGCTCGTACTGAGAGGTCGAGGTCTGAGGGCGGAGGCACATCGAGGAAACTGGCAACCGCAACGCAACCGCAATTTCCGAGAATTATCAGCATTAGTTGAACACATATTACTGAATGGAGCAGCGCAAATTGAGGAAACGGCAACGCAACTCACGGAAAGACTGAGAAACTCAACTTCCAGGCAACGGACCATGCCAGTCTTTTCGCAGTTACGTTGCCGCGTAGTGTCCTAGTGTCAGCTGTTCTATAACGCGCTTCTGTAATTCATTTGTTTTGATGGTACGAAAGGTTGACGAAGCTGTTAATTTTGTTTTCGTGCGGTTAATTGAGCAAGAGACTGGAATGAAATAAAGGAGTCTGGATTCAGGTTAAGTTCTTTCGAAACAGTATAAAAAACCTCAGTTTAAATTATCATAGAAGAACGGATGCGCCCAATGTTTTCTTTTCCTAAAGTTAATAATTTAAGCATCCTGTTGCATTAATATATCGTTTATATCCGTCTTAAATGCAGCGTATTACATACTCACCCTTCTTCCATATTATATGGTTCGGCTATAGACTGCCATCATCAGGTATTTTCTATCTTGCTAAAATTTTTGGACTGTATGTCAAAATTTCGTATCGCATATGAACGCGAAACTTCCTGATTAAAATAAATTTACCTTAATTGAAACAAATTAATTAACATCCAATATTTTCCTTATGGTCGTCGTCCTCTCTTCTCATATCGTCTGAACCGGTCTCAACTACCGCCATATTGTGATAGGATCAGTATTATTGTCTTCCATTGCTGAAGGTAAGTGCACGAAATTAAAAAAAATACAATCATGCATTACGTCGAACGAACATACCCACTTGAGATGACGTGAGCAACTGTTCAAACATAAGTTTTCTCAGTGTGCGCCTGCTAATCTGGAAACAAGTTGCCTGCTTGAAATCGGCGATTTTTCTCGGAAATTGCAGTTGCGTTTCAGTTGCCAGTTTCCTTGGTGTGCCCTCGCCCTAACAGCCTACCGTGGCTACTTGGCGACTCTCGAATCGGAGGAGCCGGTTTTTTAACCAACGTACCAGCAACTCAGCCAATAGACCAAGCGATGAACCGACCTGCCAACCAGACAAGCAGTAATCCAACAGACACTCTCGATCTGCAATATTTCTCTTGAACAGCTAACAGTCGCTCAACTGCTAAAATTCCCCGCGATTTTTAAAGATAGCAGGAGGGAACTTTTTGAAGGACATTATTTAATTTGCTACGCACGCAATATCACAAAGAATGTGCCGTTCATAGAATCCGTAATTTGAGAAGAAATAGGGTTGCTTTTAGATATATGTGTATATCACTCACTCATGGAACTGAACCCTTCTTGAGAAGCCGCCAATTGTGCAGCTACTGAAGTACTTCCCAGGATTTTATGGAACCCTAAGGATCCTTACCGTGTTCATAAGACCCCTCCTCTGGTCCCTATCCTGAGCCAGATAAATCCAATTCATACCATCCCATCATATCTCTCTACGATTCATTTTAATATTGTCCTCCCACCTACGTCTCGGTCTTCCCAGTGGTCTCCTTCCTTCTGGCTTTCCACCAATACCCTATATGCATTTCTTCTCCCCCATTCGTGCTACATGCCCTGCCCATCTCATCCTCCTTGACTCGATCATTCTAATTACTCTTGGAGAAGAGTACAGGTTATGAAGCTCCTCATTATGCAGTTTTCTCCAACTTCCTGCCACTTCATCTCTCTTCATTCCAAATATTCTCAACACCCTGTTCTCAAACACCCTCGGTCCGTGTTCCTCCCTTAATGTCAGACAAAGTTTCACACCCATACTATATGTATATATTACATAGGTTTAATTGTGTTATTCAAAGGAATTCGCTGTAATGAACAAGAACGTTGGAAATGTGTGAAGAGTAGGTACAAACCAAGTTTGTACTGTGTGTAGAGCTTTTGATTTGATCTCTATATTAAAGCAAATATACGGTAGAAAAGATGAAGTGTAGAGATGAAAGAACAACGTGGTTATGAGAAGGGAAAGTATAGAAAACGTAGGTATACGCCTATGCAAAATCCGAAGTTTAACAGACATATTGCACGCGGAGAAATCCTGTACAGATTGTATATGTCTCGCATTAGGGTAATTAATTAACTTTGTAGTTACACGTTGATAGAGCGAGCTTATTATTAACACTGCTTTGTCATCTGGGAGGTAATTTTGATCGATAACTGCGTGATAATATCTGAACTGAAGGTTATTTAACGATGCTATTATTAGGGTCATTAAATTGAAGAGGCTATAATGGGCTAGCCATGTAACACGCACTAGGAGATAAGATACGTGCACGGAACTATGGTTGGATAACCACAGGGAAATAGATCCCCTGGGGAGACTAGAAACAATAGGAA